AAAGAATATCCTCCTTTGGAGCTCATCCTCCGGGCATCCCACCGAGGGGTCCATCAGTGCGCCCAGGCTAACGCCGCAGGGAGGCACGACTTTCTCCTGGGACATTTCATTGGGATAGATTTTTCTAAGTCAGACATTCAGGCCGGATCATTCCCTGTGGTGTGGGCCTGTCTTATGCCCTGTCGGACGTCAAGCAGCCCCCCTGGGTATTGAGTTCCACCCTCCAACAACTTATGTCACTCCGACATGTGCCCGGACATTGTCAAGTGTCCTGTCGGGGGCAAAATCACCCCCAGTCGAAACCGCGGCTCTGCGGGCAGCTCCGGGGCTTCCTGTGTCAGTTGAGGCACCCATCACAGGAAACGGTACGGAGGGAGATGCACGACACATGGACACCCTCTGCCCGGACGCCTCTTCCTGGGAGACCCGGAAGTGGAGCCTGTCTGGGCGTTCACAGGAAGGCCGGGACTGCGGGCCGACACTGAGATCTTCCACTCGCTCCCACGGGACTTGGGCAGCTTGCTCCCACTGTTTGTCACTTGACGCATCTGTGACTCAGGGATGGAAGATGATGATGATAACACTTCTTTTGGGGCCAGTTTGAAGATTAAGTGCCTAATAAATGTGACCCACGATGACTATTTTATCACGGTCAAGCCACAGTGGACATCCAAATGTTTTTTTTTTTTAAAAAAAAAGGGAGGGGACAGGGGTGGCTGGCCCCGGGTCCCTCCCTAATAAGATTTGTGACACAGGCATTTTTAAAAGGCATTTTGGGTCCGTGTCAGGACCACCTGACACCCATAGAATGAACAGTGGTTGGGGACTTCTCCGGGGGCAAAGCTGGCTTTGAGGTGACATTCCTAGTAATGATCACCGTTGGGCCACGGTTTCAGGCCAGCCCACTGGAGCCCCGCAGGCCCTGCCCAGCACCTGGCCTACAGGTGACCGATGTGCAGGGTTGGGGAGCGAGCCGCCCAGCCTTCTGCCCGCTCTGCCTCTCACTCACCCCGGGGGCCTGGGCGAGTCCCCACATCTCTCTCAGAACCCGTGTTCTCCTCTGTAAAGATAATCAGAGCACACGCCTTCCAAGGATTTGTAAAAGGAATCATCACACAAGACAATGTGAGAAGCTCTCAGCACAGGCTGCGTAATAAGCACTAAGGGTTAGCGTAGTTGTTATTCATTTAATTTTACAAGGATTCGGACAACAGGAAGCTTGCGGGGCACAAGGATAACCAAGCTCGAGTCCCTGATCTACTCTCACCCTCTCGGAGGTACGTGTGCCTGGAGGAGTTGCCTGGGAAGACATCTCGGAGTGGACGGGCTTTCTGTTCCTGGGTCGTATGTGGTCGGGGAGGGTCAGGAAGGGAGGAGTGACCCCCTCGTCCCCCGCCAGCTCTGCCCAGGGCCCCGCCGTGGCTGCGGCAAGCCCTGCAGTGAGGCTCTGCAGGCTCGCGAAGGCAAAGGACAGTGGGAAAGCCCTTGAGAAGCGGAATCGAAGGGGACATGCAGGGCCAGGCTGTGTGGGACCTGAGGTGGAGGTGGCCGAGGTGGCTGAGACGGGCCACCCAGCTCAGAGGAAAGCCCTGTCCCTTTTCTCTCTCCGAGTGGTCGCTCGGGAGCGCTGGGCTCAGTGAGTCAAGGTGGGCCTGCAATTTGTGGGTCATGGAGGCTGGGTCCCCCCTAGTGACACCTTAAGAGAGGAGCTCAGCCCCGCACTTGTAAAACCAGGGCCGTGCCAAGAGGTGGGAGATGAAGGCGCACGTGGGAGGGGGCTGCTGCCGGGCGGGCCCTCTAGGCCGGGGTCTCCTCAGCACCCCCTTCTTCTTCCGCCTCTTCTTCCTCCTCCACGTTTTCATCTGTCTCCAGCTTTCGTTGTTTCTGTTAAGGAAGGACAGCGCTGAATCGCCGGGGGAGGGCAGGCCTCCCCGTGCCCCAGGAAGTTCACCCCCCGAGGCCAGAAGCAGCCAAATGGCCAGGGTCTGGGTGCTAGGGCCAAGGCCGTGAGGCTGAGGACGGCGGGGTCGGCAGGGGCATGCGACGGGCTCAGGTACAAGTCCTATTTCTGCTACTTGTTGCTTGGTGACCTCGGCTAACTCCTCCTGAGTCTCCTTGGTCCCCCACCTGCAAAGCGGACCCACTTATTCGAAGGGCTGTGGCTAAGATGAGAAACGGTGCGTGTAAGGACACAGCAGTGCTTTCTAAAGCTCTGTCCCCAGAACCTCTGGCCAAGTGCAGAGACTAGGAGAGAGGCAGGAAGTGTGGGGGCGGGAGGGGGAGGGGGCCAAGTTCTGTGAACCTGAACCCCTCTGAGGCTCAGCTTCTCCTTCTAGTGCGCTTGAGCTGCTGTGAGGAACACCTTTGGCGACCTCCGGCACCAAGAACAGAGTCTGTGAGCTCCGTGGCTCCGTGGAAGGCGGCCAGTGTGGGCATCACCTTCTCAAAGGCTGGAGGGCCCAGCGGTGGGGGATCCTAGGGCTAAGGGTCCAGTCTCGTCTCTGCTATAAATGGAGGGAGCACTCTGCCCCACCTGTACCACACAGCGGATAAAGCCACTCATATCTGAAGACATTCGAAAGCAAAATATGCCCATGAAATCACGGCCTGTCCCTCGACCCAGTGAGAGGGAGACAGAAGAGAGAGAAAGTCAGAGATGGGACCAGTTAGCCTCTCTGCGCGCTCGCCCATCCTCCGTCCCCCAGCCACTTCCATCGGTGCCCATGAACTTGCCACACGGCTCCCGCACTCAGGGCTGGCCTCCTGAGTGGGTGCCCTGTGCGGTCACACGCGACCTGGGCTTACAAGGGCCCACAGGTGCTTGTCCTTCCTTTTCCCTTCGAGCCTGCTCTTTCAAACTTTCCCATCTTGGCATCTCACCTGTGGGGCCCTAAAGGCAATGACCTAGACCGACGAGGTCTTTTTCTTTCTCTGTCCCTCGGTACAGAGGAGGGCCTGGAAGGTGACCAGACACCATCTTTATAGCTAATCTCCTCGTTTTCTGGATTAAAATGAAGGGACCAAGAAGTGGAGTGACTGGCCCAGGCGTGAGTGCTTTAGAGCTGGGGCCGTGGATACGTGAGCTCAGCACAGTTCATCCCCGACACCTGATGGAGCAAGCAGGACGCCCCTCCGCACGGCACGGCTGTCACAGCCCCCTCCTCCACGGGCCTCAAGGCTCATGCTCATCTGACCCCTCACTTAGCCCCCATCCTCATTCAGCTAGTCACACGCATGTCCTGGGCGCCTGCCGTGGTAGGGAGGGAGGATTCTGCAGAGCATGGAGCACGGCTCCTGCCGACTGGAGGCTTAGGAGTCCTCGGGAGGGAGTGAGTAGCTCCTCCCATCTGCCAGATGGACAAATTAAGGACCGCCTGGTGAGGTTACTTGCTCAAGGTCAGCCAGGAGGTCGGCAAACGGAAAGCCCCCAGGCCCCACTGCTCCCACCCCACCCTCCCGGCCCCTGCGCGAGGCCCCTACGAGCTTGGACTTCTTCATGGCCGCCGTCTCCTTCTTCTTCAGCTCCGAGAAGATGACGTTGAAGAAGTCCTCCTCGGCCTTTCTGACCAGCCCCTCCAGGTCCACAGCGGGCTCCTCCTCCTTCAGCTCATCATCCTTGCCCTCCGTCCTGCCTTTCTCCTTCAGGCGCATCTCCCGGTGCTTGGCCTCCAGAATCTTCTCCCGCCGGGTCTCACGCTCAAATATCTGGGGCACACAGGGACAGAGAGGCCTGTGGGAAGAGGGCCGGGGCTCCCGGCACAGGGACCAAACCGGGTTCTCCTTGCTCGACTTGAAGCAGCCCCCAAAGAGGTCAGGGCTAATGGCAAGAAAGGGTGGCTAAAGAGGAGGTGGGAACAGGGATGACAAGTCACTTGGTTCCAAGGAGTTCCAAGAACAGGGACAACTGTGGGGAGAATGCCCTCTGGAGTCATGCGACATGGCCGCCCCACGCCCGCGGGGGACCAGCTCGCTGGCGGGGGCCACAGTCTCAGGCGGAGCCGGGAGGGTCTCCCGGGTCTCGGCACCAGGGGTTTTCAGTTCCAAAGTGTACCCCACGGTTCTGGGGAGGTGCCTCCGGGGCCACCCACTGGAGCGAGGTGCGGCGACCGATCTCAGCCCCCCAGCTTCCCAGCACCCCTTCCGCAGGGCGGTCCCCTCTGACTCCTCTATTGGCAGAGTCTCCTAAGCCTTCATGTGACAGATTCTGCTGCAAAAATATATGTATGTATATTGTTCGAAACTAGACAAACTGAGCTAGTTAAACCACTTTGATTGACAGCTGAAAAACTGAAGCCTGGAGAGGTAACGGGACTTGCCCGAGGCCACGTAGCTACTGAGTGGTTAAGCTGGGGAGGATTCAGACATCGTGACACCCATTTACAGCACTCGTTTAAGGACGCCACTGCTGCCTCCCCCAAATGTCCACCCATTTCCTGAGGGTGGGGGGTGCGTGAGAGAAAGGGTTCCTGTGTGCTTCTCTGACTAGCCTGCTCGGCCAGGGGCCAGGTCGAGACGCAAACTGACACTTACGGAAGAAGCTATGTTCTTCTCATTCCTCTGGAGGGTGCACAGGCCGTGGGAGACCTCCAGCAGTGTGGTTGTGCCCAGCTGGGAGCCACAGGCGATGAAACACCCACTGTCCTGCACCCGGAGGCAGAAGAGGGCCTCATCACACACCTGCTGGGGGCGGAGGGGGACCAGACATTCCCAGGTCAGGGAGGAGAGAGAGAAGCAAAGTAACCCTTTGTTTGTCTGAGTATCTGGCCCATGGGGAGGCTTAGCAAAATGACCCAGCTCAAATGCCCCGGGTGACACCCCCCGACCCGACCCACACAGAGGATGAAGCCGACCACACTCTGAGACTGGCTGCCGAGACCCTTTGCCTCCGCCTTGTCTCCCGCCTGACCCTCCTGCCCTGACCCCTTCAGGGCAGCCCCCCAGTCTTCCTGCAGTTTCCCAAACCCCACGCCTTCCACGGGCCCAGCCAGCGGGGCTCTGCTCTGGCTGTGTTACTATGACAACATCAGCCTGGACTGGAGGGGTCTGGTCGGCTGCCAGGGGCCCACACCCGAGGCTTCTGAAGAAATAGCTCCAGGGGGAGGAGAGGCCAGGCAACTGCTTTTTCTTCTTTTTTAATCCTTCTCCGGCCCCACCTCCCAAGTCTGCTTACAGGCACCAGGGCCTGAGGGCCTGGGTGCATGGGGAAGGGAATGCACATGACCTTCAAGCTGAGGGCGGGGTCACACTGCTTGAACACAAAGTCCCAGATGTCCAAGGTCCCGTCCATCTTGGTGGTGAAGAAAACTGCAGGCCTTACTGGGCTCCAGGCGCCGTCAGTGAGGTAGGCCATGTGGTACCTGTGGGGAGCAGGGTGCCACCAGTCAGGGACCACAGTGGTTGGGAGGGACAGAGTGGGTGCTGAGCCCCCGCTCGGCTCACCCAGCCCCTCCTGCTCGCTGCAGGGCAGGAAGTTCTTCCTCACGTCTGAACTCTAGCCACGCCACCCTGGACTGCTCTCCGTCGGGGGCTCAGAGGCTGCACTTCAAAGGGCTCTGAGGTGGTCTTTCCTGTGGGCTGGCCGCTGGCCTTTCTCCACAGCTAACTCCAGGGAACGGGCACGCTTCGTCGGGTCGGGGCCCAGTGCCCCAGTCATGGGACTCCTTGAGAGGAGTCAGAGAAGGGTGTGCCCAGAAAAGTTCATACTGTTGAGATTCGGAGAGCATTATACATCCCACTTGGCTTAACCTAGATTTTTGGAGATTTCTGCAGAGAAGAATGACGCTTATCTTATGCCACACACAAGAATCAACTCAAAGGGGGAGGTATATGGGGTAAAAGGGGTCTAATACATGGAGACAGAAAGAAATCTCACTATGGGAGGTGAACACACGCAAGAATCAACTCAAAGGGGGAGGTAGATGGGGTAAAAGGGGTCCAATACATGGAGACGGAAAGAAATCTCACTATGGGAGGTGAACACACGATGTAGATATATATATACATGCCTTACTGTTAAAACATACAGCTGAAACTTACTGGATTTCGTTAACCAATGTTACCATAAAATGAAGGAAGGAAAAGAAGGAAAAGAAGGGAAGGAAGGGAAGGAAGGGAAGGAAGGGAAGGAAGGGAAGGAAGGAAGG